AATTTGTGACTTATGAAAATTTGACATACGACAATGTGATATTTGAGATGATACTTAACTTGTTATCTTATATACAGGCACATCATCAAATTTAATTCATATTGTATACTTCTTGCATTTTAAGGAATTTTTAAGGGATCAAATCTTGTGATTTGATACCACGTAATCCAAGATGGGTATTCAATTTAAAACCAAATTATAATAAATGGAGTAGCCTATCTTACAACCAAACCTCTATTTTGCCCCCTACACTCAGGTGCAAGCAAACTTAGGGGGGCAAAATCTGGAAGGAAATGAAGTTTAGGGGCACTATAGGTTGGGCCTAAATAAAAAATTTCAAGATCTGGGCTAAAAGGCTCAACTGGCCCAGTGAAGATTAAGCCGTAGTCCGTAGCCCGTAAGAAATAAAGAGAAGAAAGAAGTCGGCCGAAGAAGAAAGGGAGGAGGAAAACTAGAGAGCAAAATTTACCTGTTAGAGAAGAACGAAGAAGGGTTTGTAAAATCCCGGCGGAAAATCCCGGCGAGAGATTGCTGAATAATGGCGGCGCTGCTGTTAATTTTACTGTCACTCTCACTGTCTTCCATCTCTCTCGCTTACAGGCCCGGTGACATCGTTCCGATGAGCAAGATGGGTCAATACCACTCCGTCAGTCCTCAAATCTCGCCTTTACTTTAACTTGCCACTTCTATTATTCCTGCAATTCCTTATTTTTCTGTGATGTTAATATCTTTTGATTTCATGATTTCAGTCCAGAACTGTGTGGCATGACATGATCGGGAAACATTGCCCAATCTTTGCCGTCAACCGTGAGGTACCAGTTTGGCGTCAATTCATCTTCTTTTTCTTGTTGTTTGTTGATTCTTATTTAGATTCTAATTTATATGTAGGTTTTGATTCCTGTTGCAAAGCCAACTGGTTACACGGGTGCTGATCCTTACAAAATGTAATTTCTTTGATGACATTATGCTCTAAATTTTCAAACTAAATTCAATTGGGGTAGTTGAATCTGCGGTACAAATTGAAAAGAAATTATATTTACCATTGTGTTGAATTATGAGGAAGTTGCTGTGAAGAAACATAAATTTGTGGGTGTATTGGTGACTCATTTTGATTGATTGTATGGAGCTGTTTTTAGTTTTCTATTATATTACATTCTCATATCAATTATCATCACTACAATGATTTCATAGTCCTGTTTATTGTATTGTATAAGAACCATCTATCTTGGCTTCTGCATTATGTTCCTTCCCAAAGATGGGGTTAGCTTTCAACAACTTTGCTAATTGAATATAAGTTTCATAAGAGATCTATTTTATGTTAAAAGGCTTAATTACATGCAGATCATTTCAAGTCGGAAGAGAGAAGTTTCTGATTCCATGGCTTTTTTTGATAAATCGTAAAAGCTCCGAGGTTCCAATGATTGATGTGCATTTGGTAAGAGTAATGTGTCTTTGTAACTTTTATCTTTTTTCTCTTCACTTATCTGGTCATACGTTTGTAACTGTTTAGAAAAACATAATAATAAATGGCTCTGAAACATTTGTAATTAATAGCCTTTGTCATTTATAGGATTGTATATGATTGATCTGTTATGTTTATCAACTTCTTTGTTGTGCAGAGGTACTCAGGAGGCGATTTGCTTGGGGTCACGGCTAAAGTTGTCGATATGCCTCACCATTGTATGTAAAATCATTCTAATTTAGTTTTTGTGTATTAATGGTCTGTTAAGAAATTTGGATATTTGATCACGCACAAAGTTGTAGCATCCATCTTTTCCTTTTAGATTTAGCATCATGGTCATGTTAGTCTTCAACCTTTGTTGATATTGATTGTTGATGACCTGTCAGAGATATTTAATATAATTTTTATGCATCATCAGTTAAATGCCTTTTCTTTATTAAGAACAAGTGAACACTTCCCAATGCTTTTTGTTTGCAAGAACTGTACTTGTGATTCCTTCTGATCTATTCCTTTATGCTCCATTTTAAGAGTGAGTTTGGGAACAAGCCATAATAATTTCCAGGTCTCAGGATTTGTAGATTTTTATCATTAGACTCAGATGGATATAAAAAAATGTTGTTGTGAAACAGGATATCAAGTTACTCTCTTATCTATGAATTTCAGAAATATTTTTCAGTGTTCATCATTTTAGAATAGTTTGAAGACTGCTTTACAATAAAGTTGATCTTTTCTTTTGCAATTTGTGGACCTCAACCTCTATCTTTCTATCACTTGAACAGACATCGAAATTCATCCAGATATTCGCAATCAGTTCTGGGATCCTCAACATTGGCCAAAACATGTGCTTGTCAGATACACATGGTTAGTATTATTGCCTAGTAGGAAAATCCTTCTAATTATTTTCCTTGTTGGACTGACCTATATCCAACTTTATTCAAAGTTTTCAGAACCTTGTGAGAATGAGATTTTTTTTTTTCTCTTTGAGAAAATTCATATAATGGAAAACAAAGAATATATCTCTATTATATATTAACTAATCTGGCTTGAACTTTGGCAATCATACGAGACTTCTTGACTTCTTGCTAGTTAATGTATATGATGTTTGTGATAAAAGAGTACTCATGTAGCTAAATAGCAGTGAAAATGCTCAATCAAAAGTCATCTATTAAGAATTTTACTCTTTGAAGGTACTGGGCAGTCAAATTATATAGAATTTTTTTGGAACTTGAATGCTTCTTATCTCTTTCTTCTCCATCATTATTTATAACTATATTGAGAAAGCTGGCTTGTTGTCTGACCCAGCTTAAGTGCAAAGTTCTTGTTATAGTGGAATGCTATCTTGTCACTGAGATTTGCTAAAACAATTGAGATCAATTCTTGTTTCCAATTCTGTTCTTATTTTTCCTCTGACATGGATGTCAAGCTGCTTAATTCACCCTTCCAGTGGCTTTGTATATATGTGAAAGGGATTTTACTTTTTTAGCACTATTCTTAGTAAAACCATGAAATTACTGCAAAATAATGCATGCTTTTGAATGGAAAAATTTATTATTTCTTATTTTTAATGGTATTCATGTTGAGTTTTCTGTTTTCATGATTTGTAAAAGGTCTGACTCAACATGTGAGTTGTATGGAATGTGTGACAGGGAGGAGCAGTCAGAGATAGATGTGGCTTCTGGATTTTATGTGCTATTTGGTTCAGGTAAAAGTTCATCCTTAATTTAAGGTAGTAGACATGTTTAAGCTATACTTAACGCTGGCTATAGTTTCTAGCACATCTGGAAGAGTTAAGGCTATTATCAATCAAAATGTTTCAATTAGATGCTGACATTTCTCCTAATTGCTTATATTTTAGGTTATAATCTTTTTGAACAATGTCTGCAACTCTGTTTTGATCTCTCTCTGGTTATATGATTTGTCACTGTGGCTACCTTCTCCAAGCCTAGTGTCTGCCACTGTATGAAAGGGGGGAAATAAAGTGATAGGGGGTGTCTGAGGAAAAGCACTACTGATTGATTAATTAACAGTGCACCCATCTCCATCTTAACCAAAAAAAGGGGACAAAGAAAGAAAAGAGAGAGAGAGAGAGAGAGTGAAATCCGTATTTTCTTTCTTATATTTATGTTGTAAAGATTTCCAATTTAGCTAATCAGTATAACTGTACAAGTTCGTATCAGTTTTAGATGTGTGGCACGTATTCATGCAAAGGACATACTCTAATTCCAGTACCAGGGGAAAGGAATTAAGGAAAATGAGTAGGCAGCCTTTTTATGGGATGAACAATCTTTAAGTATCTTTTTTCTTTTATTGTTAAGATATCCAAACTTAAGATTTTTATTATGTGATGCACATTCCTGTTTAACTTTAGATTTATTTACACTACTAATGAATTATACTCTTGCCTGAAAACAGGGCTGATGCTGTCATTTATTCTCTCAATCTATATCTTGCAGTCATCAAGGGATAAATTTGCTAGGTAATATCGTCTCTCATTTTGTTTATAATATCTTTCATTTTTCTCTTCAATGAGAAAGGAAAAGGCTTTTCTGCCCAAAGAACAAGAAGTACCAATTTCTCGCATTTGCTAGCATCATTCATTCTCACCTCCCTCATTTCTATTGAGAATTGGCTTTGTACAGGTTTGTAATGGAGACCGTTGCAGAAAGCAGCATGCCTGGAGAAGTGGCTAAGGTTGAGTGATGGAACTCTTAAGGAAGGTTAGAAGACTGTGAAGCCAGTCTTGAGAAAAATAGTAAAATACATGTTGTTTGGTTGCAAGGGTTTTGGTTGTCATTCTGCTCCAGAAAGTCGGTCCTGAATGTTTATGGAAAAGCCGGTGGAGTGAAATCGGAATTTCTGCACAGCCCTGGCGAGAACTTTTTATGCTAGTGATACTGTGAAACTAGTGCATAAATAGTTAATATATACATTGCACAATTACTGAATTACTTTGTATTTTGATGTGTAACTTTCTTACATAAAATTTAGTTTAAAACCACGAATAAGGACTTGAACTTGGCTGCATTTCCTAATCAAGGATTCCAACTGAGGATTCAAACTCTTTGATTTTCCTGATCGAGGATTGTTCACATCCAGCCCGTGTGAGAGCTTGGAAACCTTGTTAGGTTGTCAATGACGTGGACCTAAATATCCTCCGAATCAATGGCCATCACTGCGACCGTGGTGAACTCGGAGACTTCATGTGCCGCTTTTGCGAGGCAGAGACGGTAGGGGTAGGCAATGCGGCCGAAGACGAGAAAGAGGACCTTGTCGATGTTGTCTCTGATGAGAATGTCGATTTCTTTCTTCTTCCTCGGTGTCGTTAACACATAACTCTATCAGACTGGGCAAAAATGAAATCAGAAGATGGATTGGAAATATAGGTGGAAAATAAAAAGTCCGACCTGCCGGATTCGAACCAGCGACCTAAGGATTAGCTGTGGGTTTGACCCGACTACAGTCCTCCGCTCTACCAACTGAGCTAAGGTCGGTTTGTGCATAAAAGGGCAAAATATACAAACATATCTATAAAAGGAAAGAGCCTTGTAGTGACATCTTATCAATGCTTGGATGGTCTTTTGCAGTAGCACACTTTGGGAAGCATGTATGTATCTAGATTCGTTTTTTGTGGATTATAATTAAGTCATTATTATTATTAACATAGGGGTGTCTTCTCTTTTTGGCTTCACTTATACTTCCACTGAGTGAATGGAAATCCCTAAACTATGTTTTTCATGAGGTAGTACTCCCTCTTAGAGAGCTTTTGGAAAACTTACTCAAGTCCCCTTCAATATTAATTACTTGCACACAAGTTATAGATTGAAATCAACACTTAGCTTCATAAAATGTGCTTTGAGAAGTATGGACACTCACACTAGATT